CTCTTCTCTTCCAACATAAACCTTCCAAGCCTCTCTCAATAGTTCATTCAACCCTTGTTCCTGCCAATCAGTCCTCAAGGTTTTGCAACTCTCTCCAGCTATCTGGCCAGGCATATGTGACAAAGTTGACTCTTAATAGTGCCTGACCAGCCACTGTCTCTGGGTCTATGCCAGAGTATTGCCTCATATTCTTGCTGAGACTTTGCAACCATTCTGTGGGAGTTTCTCCTTGTTATTCACCAGAAGCTTTACTAATATTCTGATTCTGGGGAGCAGCTTCCTTTATTCCTCTAATTACCAATGCCCTATAGTCTTTCATATTTCATCTCCCCTCCTCGTTGTTGTGGTTCCAAGGGGAGTGTTGTATGGGCATTTTTTCCCCCCATTTTGCAGTCCATTTTGGTGTTCTCTATCCCAGATTTTCATACCTGCTATCCTGATAATTTACCTTTCATCTTGGGTGAATAGTATACTTAGGATGGACTGTATTTCGTCTCAAGTGTTTGGACCTAAAAACTGATCCACCTGTTCTGACAAACCAGTGGGGTCATTCAATAATCCTTTTAATTCTTTCTTAAAAGCCTGTACTTTGGAAGAGTTGAGAGGAATATTTACAAAACCTACCCCTCCTTGTGCCCGACCCATCGGTACATCTCTGAGGGGATATACCCTGACCTGGTGATTCTCATTCTCACACTTTGATATTGCCCTACTCTTGGTGTTCTAGCTGGGTCCATCTAAGGGTATTACCCTCTCTGAGGGCACTGGTGCTTCTACGGTGTCATTGTGCCTGGGGCAATGGAGGGTGCGGGTGCCGCTGGAGGTACTGGTACATCTGGGGCAATGGGAAATGGTGATACTTCTGGAGGTACCAGTGCACCTGGGGCAATGGGGAATGTCGGAGGTAAGTGGTCTAAAGGGTCCCATTCCTTTTTCTCAGATACTTTAGAAGTTTTGGTCTCTGAGGGAGAAATCTCCCCTTTCCAGCAGGCTGCAAATTCACGCCTCCCGACTGAAACATTCTTCGGCATTCCCATGCATTTGTAGGGCTTGGCAAATCCACTTCTCAAATGACCCATACTCAGGCCTATGTACATGATCAGGTCGTATTTCCTCTTTTGTCCACTCTATCATGCAGTATTGCATCATCTTTATTTTATCTTTCTCCCTTGTATCAGGGTTATAATTCGATTGAGATAGCTTTAGTCCTAAGGGAGAGTCTGGGGGTATATTCATAGGTACTTTTTTACTCTTCTTCCTGGACTTTACTTTACTACCCCCCTGTCCCATGTTACAAACCTGGGGCTCCCTTCTGTTCCCTATTCTGCCTTTGCCCTCTTGTACAGCAGTCAGCCCCCCTCTTTTATTTGGGAACCTCTTCTGCTACCACTGCCTTTCCACAGTCGAGCCCTCCTTCAGGGCTCCTCTGGGGGTCCATTCCTCCGCGTCTCCCGCTTCCCTGCCACCTTCTCTCTCCCGCCCTGCTGCAGCTGCCCTTTCGCCAGGCAGCCGAGCCCTTCTCCGGGGCTCCTTCGGGGCTCTATCCTCCCCTCTGAGCCTCGCCGCTTCTCTTCCGCTTTCCTCTTCCCACTTCGCGTCCCCACCCCTTATTAGCTCCCTGCTTCTTTCTCCCTCTCGCGTGTCTCTGTCGCTTCTCTGCCTGTCGCCCTTCGTCCCGCCCTCAGATATTCCCCCGCCTCTCCTTTACCTGGCGTCCCGCCGCGGCGCTGGAGCTTTCCCTCGGTCCAGCTGTCTGCCCGAGCATGCTCTGTGCTCTGACTGACTCAGGTGCGGCTCCCGTGCAGTACCGTCCAGAGCTGAGGTTCCTGCACTTGGATTATGGGCACTGGCCAACTTCCTTCTATGCGTATGGATCGAGTCTTTGTCATGTGAATTTAAAGGGGCCACGGAAAAGAAAAGATCAGGGAATTTTGCTTTTGCTTTGCGAGTTCTCCTCATCATTCCCGGTAACCCAGCTCGGGTCTAAGGGTCCAGTAAAAGCCCGGCGTGGGCCGCCCCACACGAATGCTCTCAAGACCCCAGAACCAGTGGATATATACCGGACTAGCCCCCAGAAATTGTTATGAGTGACTCAGACCCCAAATGGGAATGAGTTATTAAAATTTTATTGAGAACCAAATAAAAATACACAAAGCAAAAGGGACAGCGCTGGGAGTGTGGCTTGATGCCAAAATGGCAGTTCCACCTTTAATACACCGGGGGGCGGGGCTTGCATCGGCCACATGAATATTTATGAGCAGTCATACATATTATAATATTTCCTTATCTATACTTGGCCCTCCCAAAGTCTGCCGGTTAACTTTCCTTTGATGTTCATTGGTCGAGACCTTCTCACAAGCAGACTGGAGGTGAGGTGTTACCAAGCCAAGTTCCCCGGCCAGGAGCATTCCCCATCCCCAGCTGTATCATGCAAGGGCCAGGTATACAAGCCCTTCCCCGACATGTCTCTGGCAGCACTGAGATGACCAGAGCTGTCTGATGGCAACATGGATGAGAGAAGAGAGGATTGAAGGGAGAACAAAAAGGGATCCAAAACCAAACTACAAGAACAGAATCACATATGAAAAGAACTTTAAACCTTAATAAACCTCTTTAACACACAAAATCATTGCGAGAGCCAATTACCTCACCACCCATCCATAACACACTCTGTGGGTCAAACTGCCAGAGAAATCTTTTGAAAGATCCCCCATGAGAGGGATAAATACAGTTTATTCTTACTGCTCCTAGGCTAGATTATTTCTGGGTTAACCCCACCCCCTACTCCAGCAAACCTTTGGGGAGAGATGGAATCAGCCTTGGCCTCGTCTTTGGGTACCAGTTTGGGAAACAGCTTGCATTCACTTACTCCCATATTTGTGGATTATAATCTTGATTTAGGGTACGAAAGGAATGGATGGTCATTCTCCCCTTCACCTTTTAGTGAACAAGTTTCTTGTGATTTATAGTGTAACATTAGCAATCTGGTCATGTGTAGAATAGTGAAGTGACTATCCTTACAACAGATTCCCTTCTATATTCCTCAGGAAACCAGCAAACAGTAGTATACCTTCTGCAAAAATACAGCATTGATTATAACAGTGTTCTGGAGCTTGTGCTTGATGTTAGTGATGTCAGTACATCAGGAGGTGTTATAAACTAATTAAATAAAACAAAACATGGCATATTTTCAGCCTTCTAATTTGTAGAAAGAAAACATGGATGGAAATCATTCAGCTCAGCCTATGTAGGTGGCTTTGCATTCAGTTTACAAGCCATAATCAAGCCTTATTCAATCCAAGTCTGAGTGGTCTTGAATTGCTTAAACCAATTATTAATTCATATTTTTTATTCTGATATCTTACTGTGGCATGTCTTTCTCTTTTTTTTCTTTCCTTGCCTGTACAAAAAATAAGTGTCTAAGTGTAAGGCTACGTGGAGTCATCAGGCAACAGACATATGCTTTCCTGTGCTCTCCACAGGGCTTGCAGGTTCAAACACATCCTGCCTGAATCATAAGAACTTTAATTGAGTAGATAAAGAGGTCCTCATAATTATAAACTGCAGTAGGTATAACAAGAGGCTAAATACATAGCTGTGGTTTTAATTAGCTTGTGCTTCAAATTAGTAATTGTGGTTTCACTCAGAAATCAGTGACTTTATACACTGTTAAAGCCTCATCACTGTGCAGTTCATTCCTCATTATATCTCTCGGTGTGAAGCTTTCAATACAACATCACGCTGAGCTAAAAAGGCGAAAGTTGTAGATATTTGGTTATCTTCCAAGTGCAGTGGAGCTCTATAGAGATTTAATTCATTCTTGCCAGAGATAGGAGAATTAACTATTTTTTGTTACAGCTGGAATATGTATGTTTGTATGTAAGCATCTGTACGTACAGGCTGTGTGTGGATGTGTGCATGTATGGCCAGGATCTATCAGGGAGATTGTGCTTACTGCAGATAGCATCAGGGCATGCACCGAATCTGCTATTCAGATTGTCAATTAGCTAATTAACTGACACAAAGCAGAGCCAAAAGCCCCATAACAAATCAAATGCGGATTGAAAGCACAGAAGTGTTCCTTAATGCTTGTCACATGGGAGGTTGTCAGTGCAAGTTGAAGTATGCATCTTTTCCTTTCCTCTTTCCTTTGCTATTTTCCCCTCTCCTTCAGGGTTTTAATTATATCTCTTCCCTCAGAGGAGCAGGAGGTAGTTTGCAGAGCCAAGAGACCAAAGTACTTCAGTGTTATTCAGGGGAGAAGTGAATGTGGTCTCTCAGCCTGTCATCTAGATCTGGCAGGTGCACAAAGGAAGCTGACACACAGATAAGTGCCCCTCACCGTTGCTACACCGAGGTGTTAGATCCTTTTCCGTGTTTGTGTGTAGAATTATCTGATACTGGAATCAACTATCCTAAAATCTCTTCCAGCAGCCTGTTTCTACAAAATGCTTATTTAACCCCTCATTGACATCTACAATGAAGCCATACATAAATTTTAAGAAGTGGGACAGAATTAGGTGGTCTAAATCACATGAGGTTGAACTGGAGCTTTAGGATGGATGGTTAATGTAATGGATTTGTAGATGTTTCTGTGTTTCCTTGCCTTCACATTTGCTTTCCCTGCACAGACCCATGCTTTGTGGACACATGTTGTGTGTGTTTGTGTGGAGGTGCCCGTGTTTATAGGCTGTTAGTACAAGGATGTCAAAATGTGTTTTATTCTTCTGTATAATGCTCTGTTAATTTGTAAACAATATTTTCATTGTTTCATTGAAACACTTTCCATTTTAGAAGTGTACTGACTGCCCTACTGCCCATTTTTACATAGTTTTATGATTCCAGATTTAAATTTGGGAAAATTATTCAGTGGCTGTTTCTTTCAGAATTGTCCTCAGGAGTTGCATTGTTTCTGATGTTTTGTTGCTATTATTGATAGTAATAAACGTGTAACAAAATTATGGGGAAAATAATGTGTTGTCATTTTTGTCTTTCTCCAGTCACTATGAGCAAGACCGGAGTGCACTTAAGCGGAAGGAATGGGAGAGAAGAAACCAGGAAGTCCAGCAAGATGAAGATCTCTTTGCTTCAGGTTTTAACCTCTTCGGGGAACCCTATAAGGTAAATGACATTGTTATGTTTTGCGTTTTCAGAATGTCTTACACAAGTACAAATAAAGCTTCTCATCACCTCTAAGAAATTGACGTATCGCATCTGCCTTGCATTCTTGAATATACTGATTATCCAAATCAGCATATGGCAGCAGAGTAAACTGAACGTGCTGCCCATGTTGCATTGGCAGAATCAGGAGTTTGGTTACAGTCCAGTTCAAGATTTGTTCCTCTTAACACACAGCAAATTCCTGCTGTAGAAGTATGTGCAGCTGGTATTTCTACAAGTGAGTTTGTATCTACAAAGGTAGCACTAAGTTCTTTCATTTTTAGGAAGAAAATATATCTGAGTTGTTAAAACCAATGTCCTCTATATAAATAATGAGTCCATAATCTTTCTTGTGCAATCTTAACCATCCAAAGAAGTCTTTTGGGGGATTGAATCTTTGGGGATCATAAGGGTATAAAAGGGACTTCAGTTACAAGTCTTATTGTCTCTAAGGAGCTTTGCTGCCTGAGATTTTCATCACCAAGGGATGTCCCCCATTATGATTTCCACTGCTTTGATTTTCAGTAAGACATTCCCTAAAGAATTCATCAGAATGTAAATTTCCTTATCTCTTTCTCCTCCCAATCAGTGACATCCATTGAAAGGCCACCACTTCATCTTTCCATTTTACATTGTTAGCAGCTGTAAGGGAGCATGAGGGCTCTTTGAAAATCACCTAAAAAAAGAGGAGAAAAGACTGCCATTATTATCAAATGGTGTGCAATAATGACAGACCACCAACGTATGATAGATGCACTCAACTGCTGGCTGTAGTTTGGTTCAGGCGTGCTGAGGAGCAACAGACCTTTTTTCCTTGGTGTGAACTTGCCAGATGGAAAACCCCTGGCTCATGTTCAAGGAGTGAAGGTATCTTGACAAATATTTCAAAAGGTGGTTTTGAAACCCCAAAGTGGAAGGCAACCAAAGTACAGAACAAGATACCAGAGCTAAAGTGAAGACGTCTATCTTGTGCGTTCTATTGAGTAGCAGCCAACTACTTTACCCTGTAAATACCGCCACCAGGATGAGCCCAATTTTATCTCTCCCTGAAGTGCAGCTGCACTGCACCCCAGGTGACCCTCTGCTTGAGCAGGGATACCTCTCAGGGGTAAAGATTCCTTCCTTACCCAAGGCTGAGAGATTCCTTACCTGTGACAGATACTTGGTAAGTGACTGATAGCATGATGAACATTACTAGTCCATGTAGCTACTCAATATTATGTAAATATTGTATGGATAGTTCCATTAGACTAATATAAGAGGTCATTTGAATTTCAGGAGGTAGACCAATATGCAAAACACTGCAAAATTTTGTGGCAAAAACTAAAATCATACACTGCCAATATCTATTATATAATAAGAATGACAATATCTGATTTTAGATCTATTTAGTGTGTGTGTATTTTCATCAAGTGTACACTGAACATGTGGTTTCTTTTCAAAATCGGAATGAGTGAAAAACCAAAAATTATCCTGATGGTCTTTCTGGGCAAATTTTTTTAGTTGCTTTACACCTACTTGGCAGAGAAGTTTGTAACTTTGCGTAATTAAGCAAAATGTAATACAATACAGCCCTAAAAAAGTGTTACAATTATAAATTGTGAACGATAAAAACTGAGAGAAAATTGTATGCAAAAGTAGTTAAATAGTAGTTAAATCAGTCTTAAATTTGAAAAAAACAGGTAGAAGCAAAGCTAAATAGGAAAGCTAGGTCTTGCCTTCTTTACACTAGGAGAAAAAAAGGGATGAAGTGATAGACCAGTTTCCTTTTTAAGTTCTGTATTGCTAAGACCCAGCCACAGTAGTTTCCTAGGCACTAATAACAGCTGAATCTAACTCTTTGTGGGTATGTAGTGATTTTTATTCTTCATGAAGTGCAAAATTAAATTCAGGGGTTTGTTTGCATTTATTCTAAAACAAAATGAAGAGACTTTGACATGACAACAAATATCCTGCATGTGCAGTTTGAATTTCTTCAGATGTTTCTGCGTTCATAAGACTCAAGGCTTGTGCACACAAGAAGCTGCACTTGTCTCTTCTGGTCATACTCAGTGGGAGCAGAGTGAGAGAAAACACTGCCCAGCAAAGTGTTGTGGCCTGTGATGGGCCTAAGGTCCACATCCTCACTGGGCTGGCTCTTCTGATGAGCATCAGCTCATGGTACAGCTGATACATTTCTGAAAGATCTGGAGGTGGGAGCTAACATGGAGACTACAATGACAAAGAGAAGGTTGGGAATAGCAGGTCTCAGGAATAGGAAACATCTCTTTTTCTTTTTTTTTTATTCCCACACCTAGTGTCCTTACTTATCATTCCTTCCTCATTTTCTTCAACAGTATCCAGAGGAGGGACTGTCAGGGTAGGGCATACCACCACTGCTGTTTCTGAAGTTTTAAAGACTGAACAACTGGCAGCTGTTTTAAGAGTGCACTAAGAAATAGAGGATATTAAAAGTTGCAGAGAAAGGAGCTCAGATTTTCTCATGGAACCTACTGCCGTTGTGTATCATGAGATGTGTGGAGTATCTGCCTTCATCTATCATCTCTCTGCTTTAGCTGTTGCAGTCTCTTTCTTTCCCTCTGTCAAATAAAATGTAGGTGTTCGTTATAGTTTTGGACAAATGCATGTTTCTACATTGATTCTTTGTAGTTTATGTATGTGTGCACTTACGTGAAAAGAGGTACTTATTTCTGTGGGTGTATAAAATACATTTTTCCATGCTTGTTAAAAGATAAATGTCTCTTTTTGAAGCTCCACTATCTCATGTGGGAAAAGAACACATTTGACAATGTGATGACATCCAGCATTATTTTGGGAAGGTCAGGCAAGTAGGGGTTGTGTTGCTCTTTAATGTGAGTTTCAGGTCCTACCTTCAAACCCTGGTGCAACCTGTTCAGGCTTGATTTTGCAGAAGGGATGAGAGAAGGGCCTGCAGTGTAACAGTAACAGACATTTGAAAAAACAATGTCAGAGTTTTCTTGAGAGAAGCTGTAATTTTACTACTGATTTGTTGATACCTTTTAAGGTTTTGAATTATGCAGAGATAAGTATTTTAAAATAAAACAGTAGGAGTATTTTTGTTACTTTTCAAAGGAATTGCCTCAGAGGAGTTCAGCTTGAGAAAGAGAACCCAATGGGCAGCATTTCCATTGCGAAGCCTTTGGTGAACATTAAATCATTTGTCTTTTTCAGGTAAAGCCCCTCCATGCTTTTCAAGCTTAAAAAAGATCTCAGCTTCTAATTTGTGAAGGTTAGTTTAACAGTGAGGCATAAGGAAGCGAACGAATTATGAAACCTCAAGTTTCACACAAATTTTCACAAAACACTTGTAAGTGGGGCCTATAAGTTTGAGTGCATTAGTTCTTTTCTTTGTAAAATGATAATGCAATAGCTAGCTAGCAAATTAGTCATCCAGTAAGATTCTATTACAGATAGCTTTTGAAAGAAATAGAAGCAAATGCAGGAAAATATGCCTTTTGTAAATTAACAGAAGCTCAGAATGAGGGGGAATGCTACTAACCATGAGTCATAAACCAGGCATATAATTTATGCCTTGGAATACTCAAAATACTGCATTTCCTTGGTACCAACAAAATCGTGATTCAGCATGCTGTTCAAAAAAAAAAAGATGTACAGAGGTTTTCTTTAAGTAATCAGCCAATTATCCAGCATATGAAGGTAGAAATTGTCCCCAGTCTGGAAGTAACAAAGAGCAAGCAGAAATTATGACTGGATTTTCTGTTTCTCTTGCTGGTATCCAGGCTTGTCAAGAATCCTGTGTTTCTTGTGAGAGCCTTGAATTTGTTGTAGAAATAAAGTAAAAACATTAATGTTATGCCTTATGTCTTAAATACTGATAGAACAGTGCGCTACATTGCTGAGCTTGTTCAGATTGTGATGTGATGCCTAAGTCTGAGCTTAGTTGTGTGTGCTCTAATTTTATTTAAATGTAAGCCAAATTACCATTAATAATACCTTTTTTTACTTTGCAGTCTGATTCAAAGGCCACTGAAGAGAGTAATTATCCTTCCATTGACTTCAGTTAGCATTGGATATGAGCTTTAGTGTACTTAAAATACACTAAGGATGTTTAAAATAATTTAATCTCCAAGGTTTTCAATAAATATATTTTTATTAATATTCCCTGTAAAGGACTATGACTACTACTACTAATAATACCTAACATTTATACAATGTCTTCTATCCCCACGATGTGAATATTAGGCATAAAATAGAGTTAATATCTAGCAAAGTTGTATTTATCATCATGTGACATGTAAAATAAAATACACTGAGAGAATTAGGTACTTCCAGTAAAATTATTGAACAGATCTGCTTTAAAGTTAAAACATTTTCTCTGTGAGGATCTAGACAAGAGCCATTTAGTGTGCTGGGATGTTGAAGTGTTGCAGTTATGGTATGCTGTCAGTACCTTTTTTTTTTTTTTAACTTGTGCTTTCTGGGAAGTAAGCTAAATGTTCCCTGGAAGTGTAGCTGAACCACAGCAGTGAAAGCTGGTGGTCAGGATTTTTTTGATACTGTTATTTCCCATGTTCTATCTTATAAGGAGTTAAAGTGTTTGAGCAAGGAGGAAACAGAGCAAGTATGTAATTCCTGCTGGGCCCTTAAGCACAATGGAATCTCCTTGTTTTAAATTTGGGGGTTGAACAGAGAAAGCCTGGTTTTGGCTGCTACCCAAACAGCTCAATGTGCAACTCAGTTGAAGGGGACTGCTCATACACAAAGAGCTTATTCTTGGCTTAGCTAGAATATAATTTTTGCCACTAAAATGACCAGCCTAGGGACTTAGTGAATTAAAGTGATTCGTGATTCTCCACAACTGGGATTATTAACTGTGTCAGTTAGGAGCACTGGTAAAATGTATAGGGACAGAAACAACATTGAACAGTCAATTTTAAAATCACTGTGTCAGTGTAGTGCTAATATATGTTGCAATCCCTGAGAATGAGCAAAAGGAAATTTACATTTATGACCTTCTTTTTTAAAACATTTTTTATGGCATGTTCAATACTCTTCTCATCCTCTGACTAGTTCAGCAGTGGCTAATATAAGTAGATATTTCAAGAGAAATCCATGCATGAATTTTTTCATCACTCAAACTTCTCTTTAATACTTGGGGAAAATGCGATCAGGAGCATTGTAGGATCCCTCACCGAAGAACTGTGACACTGTCTAACCAAGCACAAGCTCCTAATGCTGATTTTCCCCATCTTTATGGCCTGGTATTAAGGCACCATTGGACTGTGGCACTACCTGTTTTATTGAGTGAAAAAACCCCTCCAAACAGAAGTAGAGTTGGCTGTATCATGACATAACTTTGTCATTTAATTCCAGACTGTAGAAGTGAACCATCTGCATGAACAGGAACGGTAGTTCAGCTTTGGTTTTTATTCTTTGACTCTTGTAAAGCCATGAGCATGGGGAATAAGATGTTTTAGTTCTCTGCTGGTCACTTCAATGGAACAGAAAGGTCAGTAGGAAGGCTGCTGCTTTGCATCTCTGTGGGGTGAGTTAGAACAGGAAGAGAGAAGAAATCAGCTGTGTATTAATTATATCTTCCAGCTTATTTGTCCAGCTTTTTACAAGTGAAAGGGAAAAGGAAAAATAAACTTCATGCTTTAAAAGGAGAAGTATAATAGCAATGAAACAAAGATGACTCAGTGTTTATTTAATAATTACTGGAAATCAGAGAAAAGCAGGATTAAGAAATACAACCAGCTTGCAGAGAGTGGAAGAATCTTGATGCTTAACAATGTGGCAATCATGTCTGCTTATGTTCTATAAGAAAATATTTTTGAATGATCTTTTAGTTGAACCTACCATAGCATGTGATAGAAGCTTTTTGTTCTCTGGATTCAGATGGTAGATACTTCAGGTCAAACTGTATTTTCTATGGAAAAGTAATTGGAGTTAAACAGGAGAGAAGAGTTTGGTGCTGTTACAGCTACCCAGCTTCTATTTATGGCAAGACTGTGGGTCAAAGAGCAATGACATACTTATATCAACTGTGTGATTTCAATTCAAATGCTCAGTAGCCAGTAATTGTACTTTTGTGTTTTGCACGATATGAAATGTGCCCAACGTCTCTAACATAAACCCATCTTATTTTGCGCCTAACATCCATAACTGATGCAATTTAAACACTTTTCTGAGAGCATATTTAAGAAAATGGGAAGCAGTAGACAAGTGTTACTGATGCAAACCCATTTCAAGAGATTCTTTGAACACAGTTATTGATAGGTTTTTCTTACATAACATGTGCAAAATGTAATTGAAATTTAATTAAATGTCAGCATGACTCCATTAAACAGCTAACATTTGCCATCTTCTATGAAAACTATTCTGAGCAGTAACTTGTAAATCATGAATTTACTCATGCTTTTCTTGTCTTTTTTTTTTTGTTGTTGTTGTTTTTTGATATTTTAGACAAATAAAGGCGATGCCCTTGCAAACCGTGTCCAGAACACATTGGGAAATTATGATGAGATGAAGGATTTGTTAACCAACCACTCCAACCAGAGCCACCTTGTAGGAATCCCAAAGAATTCTGTCCCACAGACACCCATTGACAAAAATGAACAGAACTTTTTCCCAGAACCGAGGAACCGGATGATTCCGTCTCATCAGATCAGCGGCAACTCATCAACATCAATGCCTCCGCCTTCTTCATTGTCATCTAATTCTACTTTGCTACACAGCCACCAGAGCAGCAGGAAGTCAAGGACAGACTGGTCACGCAGTGGTCACAACTCCAGTGGGGCTCAGCCGAACCAATCCAGTGGTCAGCAGAGCCGGACAAAGCACAGCTCTTCTCATGACCAGTCACAGGGCAGGTATGAAGATCTCTATAATTTCCAGAGTGAGCAGCATAAAAGTGGGGGAACTGAGGAAGCAAATGCTATGGCAACATCTTCACATTCGAGGAGGCACACTCATGCAAAGTCAGCACCTGGAGAACACACTTACAAAGAAAACAGTCATTCAAAGTCACCCACAGAGCTTGAGTTTGTAGGCCATGGTTCTGGATCTCCACTTCCTTCCACTTCTTTGTTAACTGCAAACAATGGTCTTTCAACTCAGAATTTCCCACCAGGACTTCACTGTAAAAACAGCATGGTCCAGCAAAAGCCTACAGCTTATGTCAGGCCTATGGATGGCCAGGACCAGGTACCCAATGACTCACCTGAACTGAAACCCCCAGTAGAAATTGAGAGTGGATATGGAAATCAGGCCTTTGGAACACTGCTGGAAGGAAAAGTGAACACTCCTAGTTCAAAGAACAAAGTACCAAAGCTCAACATTCCTCCTGTTAGTGAAGTAAGTGGATTAAAATATCTTCTCTCTAGTACTGCTTGAGTGTTACATTCACTAAATATTTTTTTCTGGAAATATGCAGTTGCATTTACAGAAATTACAGAGTAAAACCTACCTTTTTCTAGAATGTGCATGACTTCCTTTAGCAGTTTGATGTGGTAGTCCCAGTAGAAATATTTAATGCCAATTTTAAAGCACAGTTTGGAATACTACATTTCTTGTTTACGATTAATATTAAAAGGCTCGATCTCTGTTGGGTGTAATATATGTATACCAGCTATAACGGTTCTGGACAGGAAACTCTAATATCTCAGTTTGTCTGCAATTTTCACTCTTGAGTTGTCAGTTAGTAGGTAGTTTGATGGACAGATTACTATTTTAAACTCCAAGGAAAAATGGCAATGTTCAAGTTTCAGTGGTACTAAACAGTCCTGCCAGCAAGGAGTTTATTTGCAGAGTTTGCTAAATTCCTTTTTTTTTTTTTTTTTAATTGGAATTAATGTGACTTACTTTGTGAATAATGCTTATGAAAATGTGTCCCAGTGAAGCTTTTATGCATTTTGAAGAGCTCTTAATACTGGGATTCAGTACCAATCTCTGCAACCAACAGTTTAAGCTGTTGAATTTTGTGTTGCTGGTCAGAACAGTAGTCCTGTGAGGAACATTTTAGTTGGTTCACATTCGTGTCCATTCCAAGCACAAATGTATGATAAGGATACAGATTGAAGTATTTATACTCTGTATATTTTTTCTCTTAGTTTGAGTTTCTCTAAACCAGTAACCTGTGGAAGGTAGGTGTACAATGTACATATGAGCAGAATTGGAAGATGGGTTTTTCGTAGCTTTCTGTTTTCCCAAAAATATTTCCCTGCTTTTTAATATTTTTATCCTAAGAATGAGGAGTGATACATTCTTAAACCACTTTATTGCAAAAGATCAGCTTTTTCTATTGGAATAATTGTTTCAAGCCAATAATTTGTTTGACTATTTAAAACTTGATGTTATTTATTAACATTCCAGGCAGCAACAAAGACTGATGTGTTTTGCAGTAGAGCTTGGAATAATTTTCTGGGAACTGCATCTGAAAACAGTAAAAGGCCTATTTATATCAAGTGGAAGCTGAGGGTTGCTTGCAGATGGTGTTTTATTAGAAAATGTATTTGTTAATAAACGTAGCTTTCTGCAAGATTACTTTACAGATGTTTCTGTTTATTTTTACCTTGGGTTAAAAATCTGCTGGTGTAGATGAGTTCAGAGTCTGCTGTGATTTGTCGCTAGCATTGTTTCACAAGTAAATAATTGCATGCAAAGGAAATAATGATGTTGCAAAAGCAAATACTTTTTTTCGCTCTTGCCATCTATTAACGCTATGAGTCAATGGAAGCACTTTAAAGTGCAGCATTAATGCAAAGCAGTTTTGGAAATAAAATGTACCTTTTGCAGTTTGTGTCGACTATTAAGAATGCATTTTTAATTTCTTTACTTTTTGAGTGAAATCCTGGCACTATGAAATTGATTGAGTTGTTTTTTGGGCGCAGAATTTTACCCACATTCTTGCATAGTTCTAGGAACCTCTGATGTGAACTGTTATTTTTTGAAAGATTCTTAAGTTGCAAAGATGAAAAATTTCATTATGAATTTGTTGCTACTTTAGTTTATATCCTGTGTAATGAAAAGTATAGGTGGGTCATTTAATTTATATTCAGATAAATGGTAAACTCTAGGCAATTTAGAAATGAAAGTAGATAATAATCTTAAAGCAGACTGCATTTTGAGAGTGAATGGCAAGTTGAGAGGGAAAGAAAACCCAAAGCTGTGACAAAATAACTTTCCTTTCTGAGACAGAACACAGGACAACAGCCAGACTGATGGATCTTTTATAAATCTCCTCCTGAGTTTGGAGGGTTGAATTTTTTCATTTGTGTCAGGACTGTGAACTTTGGCCCTTTGTGTTTTTCCACAGATGTGTACCCTCAATTTGGTTTGCGTTTCAGTTATAAAACTCCTTCCAATCCAACATTATAGATAACTGGTTTAGTTTAAGCTTAATCAGAACTGACAGTGCACACCTGTGAAACCCATAACCTTTTCAGAATGACTGCAGTGAGTAGCTCTGTTGTAATCTTTATACAATTGATGTGGAGGCTTATGATCCTTTGGTGGTGCTTATCAATTTATGGACCTTCCCAGGCCACCTCGAGCCATAGTATCTGCTTGAAACAATTTTGTTCCTACTCCACAGGTTTCCATCTTAACACTGTTCCAGGTGCTGGTGGTGATCTTCAAGCTAGCAATTGGAGAGTTACTGTTTTGGGGCATTTCTCCATAATTTGTTCTGTGGTTTTCCTGTATGTCAGAGTCCATTTTTTCAAGTTGCTGAGTGTATGCAGATAAAATGCACACCAAAAGGTTTTTACTGATTCTCTCAAAGTTTTTATTGTTCTTAAGATGAAGAATTCTGTAAAGAAATAAAATTCCTATGTGATGGTCCTGCAATAATGGTGCCCATTAGGACTTACAGTGTTCTTGCTATCTTACAGAGAGAGAGGGGAATAAGTAACCCAATATTTGAACAAGCAAATTTAAAAGAAGTGCTCAAACTGATGTGGAAATACAGTGTCATTTATCATGGCTTAATGGAATAAGATGTTGAGTGCCCTGGAAGCGTTCTGCCATGTGTAAGGAAGTGATCAATTTTATAACATAATTTGTGTCACTTGAGGTGTTGCTCTAAGAATCTTTGCTCATTTGCTGGGCCTAATTCTGCCATCAGAGATGCCCATCCATCTTTCAGCTCCTCTGGAGCAGACAGCATTGTTAATGCCTCGCTGCTGGCATGTCTCCACCGGGCAAGGGATGGTGGGTTAGTGATTTCCAAGGTCGTAGAGATTCATAGTGAGTTTACGCACACTCACCAGGTTGGGTCAGGAGGTAGTGTTAGCAGCTCTTACACACCTGTGTACTAATCCTTGCTTCTGAGTGGGTGCTGCTGTGTGATTTCCAGACCTTGGCTCATGCACACAGAGCTAGTTCAGACCTAACTGCACCGTAAGTGGCCATTTCTGGTAGAGAAACAGAAGTAGCAGAGCCTCTGTAAACTTTTAGTTATGCCATGGAAGGGTTTCTTTGTGATTTTGTGATTCTCTTGATTTCTTTTAACTTTTTGCTTTGTTTTTCATATCAGTATTCTTTTGTAACAGTGAAGGTAAAACATTTTATGGTTTGGTGCCTTGAGCAAAACCCAGTGTAACCAGTAGTGCCCAGGCCTGGCAGCCCCCGGGGTTTAGAAGTTGTGGAGCTGATATTCATGAACTGGGAAGCCATAGCGACATCATGTGAGTTCCTGGGTCACGTGCAGAAATCCACCAGATCTCATGACATAGAGTTGATAGCAATGGCCTTCGTGCTAAAACTGGGAGAGAAGATGATAGAAAGCCTCAATCTGTAAACATTATTTCCTGTTCCTTTCCTATTAACTCTCATCTCTTTAGTATGTATTTACATGCATACTTACATACACACACGCATAAATATTAATTTTGAGCTTGCAAATGCAATTTGATAAATTGTGGCAAGCCGGAATATTACAAAGAGCTTTTGTATTATGCAGAATTCCACTTACTTAAATCCTGTGATGGCAGATGATTGTTACTACTCGAAGAGAGCTTCATAGTTAAATCCTATGCATTTCTTTAAAAAAGTAGATGTTAGAGACCACAGTAACAGCTGATACTCTCTCTGCTGCTTTAAAATCCAGAATCTTGATACATATATGTATATTTAAACCTCCAGGAAGCAGATTCTTACAAATTGTTTTGAATTGACTAATGCAGGAGGTGACAGCTGAAAGAAAGCCTGTACTTTTCAGATTGGGCTCAAGCACAAATTACTGAGAGCACTGAGTAAAGCAGAGGGTTTTAAGGTCTGTGGGAACATCAGACGCTGTGTTCCTGGAAAACCTTATGCCCAGTTCCCCAGAACAATGCATGGATTTCCAATAAATGTTTAGGAATGGGGAATCAAGAGCAATTGAGATAATTTTTGATTCTCAAGGCAGAGTTTTTAAATCTCACTACAAAATTGGCTTAATGTTCCTGCAAAGTAGCAAATGCTCATGTACAAAATTTTCCTGAAAATACAAAGCTAGGAACAAATCCAAAAGGCCTATGACATCTATGTCACCACCCACTTAAGGAATAAAAAATGGAGAACTTCTATTTTCACTTTACTTCTAGGGAAATATTTTGACGGGTTCAGGATACTGCAAAGTGATAAGTTTCTGTTATGTGTTTCAAATCATTCTGTTATCGCTGCATGTATTGATTTGCTTAGTGCTTTCTGAGCTAGCTATAAAAAAGGCTGTTCTCTTTCTGCATTAAAGAGCAAGAAAAATTGACAGGTAGATAACCATATTGATTGAACCTAAATAGTAAATGCAAGAGGCTTATATACGATGTATAAAACTCTCTATAGGAACCAAAGCCAGCATAATGCCTTTCTTTTAAAACTGGATGCCTTTAACCAGCCCTACCCCTTTTTGATATATATGCTTCTCTAGTTGCCAGCTGTAGTACATTACCATAGTTCTAGGCAAATCACTTTTTTCAGATGCCAGCTTTAGCTGTCCCCCCAACTTTGAGCTTGGAAGAAGAATGGACTGAATCACACATTAAGATGAAATCCCTTTGCTTGGTTCATATTTCAAAAGTCTGAGGCCAAAAACAAACCCAAAGAGCAGTTATTTCTTGCAGTATTAGAGGTTACAGCCATATGTTTTTAATTTGTAAATACTGTGAGAAGTAATGTTCTTATGATTCTTCTAAATGAAGACCATATGACATCACTCGACTGAAGACCTCTTATTGTGGCCTTTTGAAGACTACTGTCTGATGGTCTGGACAATGGCTAGCAAAGCTGTTTTGCAGGGATAGCAAGAGGACAGTTTGTCTATTTCAAATCAAACATAAATATGCATATTTAGGGCCTAATTTTGAACCACTGTG